TTTTTGTTTGAAAATGGTTTATCAAAACTTATCTTTTTTTTTAAAAAAAAAATTTTTTTGTCCACGAGTCGATTACCCTGTCAGGCATAGGACTGCCAACAACCTGAGGAGGTTCGAGCTGACTACCGCTAGACTTATGTCAGTGAATGATACCATATTCTATTGTTCATCAAATGTCTGGATCTTGATGTTATAGGATAGGACATTTTTCTGCTCTATCTTCGGTGTGTCTTTAACATCAACACCGTACGCCCCAAAACGACTACTTGCGACCTTGCTTAATGGTTTCATATGCATCGGACATAAGCATTGAAAATCGAACCAAGAAGCAAGGAAAAGAAAAGAACAAAAATGGGGTGAGAGAGAGGATGGACTGATTCACCTAAAACATCGAAAAGAACGAATAATGAATCAACCCTTAAAGCTCGTGACAAAAAGATTTGAAAATGAAGACCCGAAAATCCCTGAATCAATCCCAAATGGGTATAGAATAAGCCCCACAAAATTTCAGCAGCACCTCTCCCTTCCTCTGAAAATTTCGGCCAGCCCTAGTAACACCACATTTCAAACCAGTCGAAACAAGTCCAAACCAATGCCACAATTACATACGTAGCCCCACAACACTTATGCATTTACATATTCAATCTCTAAACTTAAATAGTGCATTTACATCATCTAAATCTTTCACATTGGATAAAAAAATGCCACCATCAGAGCCTCATAACTGCAACTCAAAGGAAGCCCAAAGAAAGCCAACTAAAATCCCAACTCAATTAAAATAACCCACACAACCTCAAATTTTACATAGGGTCAACCTCGTCAAAGCTTCAAAAAAAAAATCTCATGAATAAAACGATCAAGTTCTTATTTCCAAAAAGTGAACTCCGCGAAGTTTCCAAATTCTCACACAAGTATCACATGTAAACCTTTTTCAAAGCCCAAGGCGGCACCTCCAATTTCCAATAATTTTATATGATGAAATTGAAAGAGAACAAATTTCCAAATAGTTTTATAATCTCTAAAACGGCAGCTAAAAAAAAACTTTGCCAAAACATCGCCAAAAGATGCATTTAAAAGCCCTCAAAACTACAGTCATTTCAGCTCATAAAAACGGCATTTCGAAAAGCTCAAAACTGAACCCAATTCAGCCCCTAAAATATGTTTTTAAAATGTTCCAAATAGCTTGCCAAAATCAGACCATGCGCATAAGAATTGAGTGGTATGTGCGTAAATATTCCCCCTCTTTTTTTTTAGTTTTAGTGACCCAGAAATCCAAAATTCCAAAGAAAATGTGTACAGCACTTCAGAAAAGTCAGGCTCAAAGCAACCCTGACCCGACGCCTCAGCCCATGAACCGGCTTACTTTTAAAAAAAAATATTGATTCAAAATCAATTCAAAATATGTTAAAGCAGCCAAAGCAAATATCCACAAAAGAACCCTCCAGTTTCCTCTCTGAGTTGTTAATCTCCACTGAATGGTGAAGCATCATTAATGCATTTATGCATATCATTTAAGTTAACATTCCTGTATTCTTACAACATAAAGGGGCTTTTTTTAAACCTTCCATCATGGCAAAAAAAAAAAAGAAATTGCAAACAAGAGAAATGACCACCATCATTCCAGGAAAGCTTAACATATCCAAGGAATTCTAAAAATCCATCTTAGGCCAATCATATAATATTCCCACAATCACGTTATAAAACATGTTATAAAAAACATGTAAGATGATTAAATAGAGGGAGAAAATGATACATTAGATCAGTCCAAGAAACCCGTAAATTTTCTTTCAACGCATAACATAATTCGTAACATTTCCATTGTAACAGAGAATAGGTAAGCATGCATTTACTTCACAGATATATCTTAATCCCAAAACTCCCCTGCTCAAGTTAGGAATTCAACCTCTAACAACGTGAAATGGCTTTCAAAAACTGCTGGGTAGCAAGATTTGAACAGACTTTATAAAAGAATTAAACTAAACACTTCCAAACAGTCAATAAAAGTAAAGGCGACTTCAAGATTTTGTTTATTAGCAGGACTTAAGCAAAATTT